CATCCAGAAACGCACGAGCGGGAAGCCATCTTTAAAAAGACGCCTGTCGCTCGTGGAGCTCTTTTAGACATTTGCTCTTTTAGGAAAAAAAGGAAACACTCTTTTAGAGAGAGCGCTGAAGCGCCCAGGGGAGGTCGCGGCGAGACTGCAGAATGGCAGCTGCAACACGCTGAAGATGAGCAGCACTGAATGGCAACCCCCGCTGACGCACCGTAACACCAACGCCAGCTGTTTCTTCCAAACACTCGCGGAGATTCGTCCTGAGAAGGCTCGGCTCAGAAGCGAAAAGCTGATGTGCGTTTGCACGCGCTCTCCTTTTATACCCGCGCTGGGGTGCGCATGGCGAAACACGCACGCCAACTGTCATTGGCTTGTTTAGTTAACACTCGAAGGGGATTGGGCTCTCGGGCGAGATCCCAATTAGTCAGTCACAACTGACGTAACGTAGAACGTGACTGACTGAAAGGGAACTTGATATTATTTGAATGTATTGTCATAATTATAAACACACTGATTTGTAGCACAAATAGTTGAATACAATTATGTAATTTCTCTAGTTATTTACCTATAGGAGCTAATGAAGTCTCACACATTCACAGAAAATAACTAGCTTACTTCTGCACTGCAGAATTAGACGGATTATTACATTACATAGTAGTTAAGAGACCTATATGCCTGAGTGCTCTGATTTCCTGCATAATTTGTTATGCTTTTGAATCATTTGCAATGACTGTGCAGGATGCTATATATCCTCTATTCCAGAGTGGCCTAATTACGGAAAAAAATCTCCCAATATGCACCTAAAAATACTGTCAACAACTTTCCAGAGAAGAACTCTCCATGCTTGAAATTGGCTGGTGTCAGTGATGTCAGCTTTGAGGAGAAGGCCGTTTAATGTGCAGTCTTAGCGGGCACAGGAGAAGGCTGCATCTCTGTAACAAGCATATTGGCAGTGTCCTCCTGTCTGGCACAGCCAATCAGCATGCTGACTCAAGGGAGGATAAAACTCAGTGTGGCTTTAGCTGAGAGGCACTAGAGTGAGCCAGGAAAAGCCCGGCTGAAGCATGCGTGCACATACACATCCTCTCATTCTCACTTTCCCCTCCTAGTCCCTTCTTTTTCGGTGTCAATAACACACTTTCTGACTCTCTCTGTCCCTCAATCAGAAATACACGCAGAATGTTTCTATACACGACATAATGACGTCTATCAATGGCGCTGATTGCCTATGGGTCTGATAAACTGAAAAATGACGCGCAACGTCGACAACATGAACTCTGTTTCCCCTGGCTCCCCTGAAATGCGATGCTTGCTTCCCCACCATCATTTCTAATCTGCGTATTACTGCAGGTGCGTGTCACGTCATTTATGTACATCACAACCACATGCACACTTCGGTCAGAGCAGCAATAATGCGATTAAGGTGTTTACATGCGTACGCCACCTATGTTAAAGGTGAACTAAGCAATTTTTGAAAAATGCTTTTGACCGCAGTGTCGGACCATGTCCCAAAACACACTTGCAGCCAATCAGCAGTAAGGGGCATGTCTTGTAGTGATAGAGAGAAGAGAGCACTCAATTTGAGTGCACAGGACAGAGAGTAGCAGATCGACTATAGAAAGAGAGAACTGGAAGATAAAAAAGAGGTAAATATAGGAGGAACAAAACATTAAAAAGAAGGGTTACGACCAGGCAAGAGGTAGGACCCGCGAGGTTGCGTTGTTTCTTTTTGATAGGTGAGTACCGTTGATTTTGCATTGTTTCAAACAACTTATCTGTGTTGGCTTTTGTTTGAATATGCTTGTGTCATCTTCACTTGTTTCTGCGGTCGTCGTTATGCCAGGGTTGTGTATGTACATGTGGGGCGGAGATATCAAAATAGGGGTGAGGTCCTGTTGGACTATGGGCGTGTTTGTTTTGGTGCTTTCAAATATCAACATTGTTTGGCAAAAAAATCACTTAATGCACCTTTAATATGATCATGCTTGCTGTGATTATGAGCTTAATCGCATTATTTAGATCGAATTATTGCGTTGACATGAGGTAAAGTTTAACCGTGATATTGCCAAAATGTCATTATAATCTCATTATGAGGGTACATGTAAACACACTGAATTAATCGATTTGTTCCCTGAACGAATCAGCGTTTTGAAAAAATAGTTTCAGTGGTTCAATGCCTCGCTCATTTCTGAAAGAATCTGTGTTTTTAAATGAATCAGTTGAACGAATGATTCAGGCTTACTCATAACACATGCAGAATTCAGAACTACATACTAGCATACTACTCTTACTATTTTTACTTTTTTGTGGCAGAAATAGTAAGAAATAGTTTGCTTGAATGAATGTTCAGAAACAGTCAACTTGTTTTATTTCTGAATGAAGCAGTGGTCCAGTGAATTAATGACTCTTTACTCCTGATTGAATCAGGGTATTGAATTAATCGGTTTAGTGATTATTATAGTGATTATCGATTTAGTGAGTCATTATAACACAGTTATTTGTTACCATCTACTAGCTTAACAATATATCTTGCAGAAAGAGTCCCTGAAATCCTACTATACAGACAAAGAGAATTGATTCAGTTCCAAGTGCTGCGCTAAATATCAGAGCTCTTGAATCGTTGCTCAGCCAATCAGATTTGAGGACCAGACCTAACCTTGCATAATAAACACAAAATGATCAGACTCTACTGATAGATTACTTGTCACTTGAAGCTTTTCAAATCACACCCAGTTAGAACATAATGTATAAGATCATTAGCAGGACCAAACAGTGCAGCCAAGGGGAGTCAGTGATTACTATTTTATCACAAACACTTATCCTGATTGGAGGCAGTTCCAAGCACTTTAAAGTTAAAGTTTCCCTTTTGTAATTAGAGGCTAATAATTGAAATATAAAATGAGCTCTCCAAATCAAATCAAATGAAATCAAGCTGAAAGTGAAACACTTTGCTTGTGATCCAAAACGAGCCCATGGTTACCCAATCAAACAAAGTAGCTTGTAAAGCAGCTTAATTGATTTTAATGGAGCAGGCTGTAAATGAAACAGCTAACAGCTGGTCAGAAGGAAGCTTGGCTTACCTTGCCGGACATCCCTGGGTGCTATAGCGATGCCATTCTTTGAATGCAGCTGTGTGACACAACAGTCGTCGGGTGGGGATTGCAACACACTCGCGCTGGGGTCTAAAGAGTGGTTATATAAGAGTGGAGCAGTGGGCAGTAGGGAGACCGGAGGGGCCGTGTTGGGACAAACGCATCCCGTCTGGGTGATACTGCAGCTCTCGGTTTCCCAGCCTGAGCTGATGTGCAAGCACTCCTCAAACCATCGGCACAGGACTCCACACGTAAAGTGACTCGAATTCTCATTATTAATGAGCAGAACCTCTACGAGCCGGAAGTCCAGAGTTTCTGCTGACAAGGGGGCTTGGCCCTCGGATGTCCCATCTCCGTTGTCGCCGTCTTTGTTGGGATGAGTGGTCAGGCACAACTGCACATAGTTCTTATCGAACTGCAGGAAGGTGTGGGGTCCTGGGACCATGCAAAGCTCAACGGCTTCAGGGTCCGAGGGGAAGGTGGGCTGGTCTGGGGGGCCACAGGTCTGGTTTGAGAGGTAGTGGTCCAGGGGCAGCACCAGCGGGGAAAAAGCTAAACACGCGCCGGCATGGCGATTGAAGCGGAAATAGAGCGAGTACTTGGTGGGGTCAGGGTTCTCCACAGTCCAGGAGCATCCAGATGTCAGAGCCGATGGCCTAGGAAAGAGGTCCCTGAGCGAGAAGGAGCCGTATAAGACCCCAGCCACCAGAGAGGAGCAGGGGACAGCCTGACCCAACGGCTCCACGGCTTCATTCAGCCCGCCCCTCTGCCACCGGTCCCTTTGTCTTAATTACATGTGGTTAGTGGGTCACATTACTGGCATACAGTCGGCTGCAGTGGTACGTCCTTCATTTGGAGGGCCTTTGGGTTTCCGTACACTCCCACCTGGATCAATAGGTGGAAACTCTCTGACTTTCCTCCTCGTTTTTGCCTCTTTGTCATTCTGTCTCACCCTTCCTCTCCTCCTTCCCACTCTCACTCAGAGCAGACTTGTAAATCATTTCAGGGCTGCGTGTTCTCTCTGTGAAGGTCGCAATCCTATTCACAAAGACACAAACTGGACACGCATACTTTTCTCAAATGTCTGAAAATCCCTGACGGATGTGCTGAGAAGACTGATGACTCTTCTGTGGAGGGTTTAGCCCTTCAACTAATCTCCCCCACTCTCACGCACACATGCATCCTTTAGTTTCCCACTGTGACACATGTATAGGTCTTTGAGTTTTTGATTAATAGGATGTGGCACATGACATGACAATCACATTTTTTTGTCTTATCTATTAATTTAATAAACAAAAATACATTAAAATGCAATTTAGAGATACAATGACTTGAGCACACCACTTCTGTGATAAGACTGTCAGAAAAACTGAAAGAAAAAACAGAATTCATGTGTTTAAAGTCATTATCCCACCTTTAATAGAACTGTCATCTTGATTTAAAAATAAAATAAAAATGTAAAATTATGTCTATATCTTTTATTATAAATGACTTAATTATTTTTTGAGATATTCTTTCTGATAGTCTTATACCAATTTGGTTTATAATAAAGTTAAACAACTTTGTAGTAATAATGTAGTAATGTTTATGTGTATGAAAACCCACCATATGTTTTTCCTCTTTTATAATCCTTTGTAAATGGTATATATTGACATTATAATGTTTTTCAACTTGTTCATTATGACTAATGTTTCAAAAAAAAAAAAACTAAATAGTTTAACAATCTTTTATTATCACACTTAAAAGATTCAGATCATCAAACACATTTTTATATTACACAAAGATAATGCAAGTAAATACAAAATGCAGTTTTTAAATGATTATTTCATTGATTAAGGGAAAAATGCTGTCCAAAGCTACATGGCCCTACGTGAAAAAGTAATTGTCCCCTCCTGTTAAATCATCAAAGAACTGTGATTAACCACATTATTTTAGAAAGCTGGGTTAAATTTCACTAGCCACACACAGGCCTGATTACTGCCAGACCTGTTGAATCAAGAAATCACTTAAATAGAACCTGTCTGACAAAGTGAAGAATGCTTAAAGAGCAACACATCATGCTGCGATCTAAAGAAATTCAAGAACAGATGAGAAACAAAATAGTTGACATGTATCAGTCTGGAAAGGAACGCATCCCGTCTGGGTGATACTGCAGCTCTCGGTTTCCCAGCCTGAGCTGATGTGCAAGCACTCCTCAAACCATCGGCACAGGACTCCACACGTAAAGTGACTCGAATTCTCATTATTAATGAGCAGAACCTCTACGAGCCGGAAGTCCAGAGTTTCTGCTGACAAGGGGGCTTGGCCCTCGGATGTCCCATCTCCGTTGTCGCCGTCTTTGTTGGGATGAGTGGTCAGGCACAACTGCACATAGTTCTTATCGAACTGCAGGAAGGTGTGGGGTCCTGGGACCATGCAAAGCTCAACGGCTTCAGGGTCCGAGGGGAAGGTGGGCTGGTCTGGGGGGCCACAGGTCTGGTTTGAGAGGTAGTGGTCCAGGGGCAGCACCAGCGGGGAAAAAGCTAAACACGCGCCGGCATGGCGATTGAAGCGGAAATAGAGCGAGTACTTGGTGGGGTCAGGGTTCTCCACAGTCCAGGAGCATCCAGATGTCAGAGCCGATGGCCTAGGAAAGAGGTCCCTGAGCGAGAAGGAGCCGTATAAGACCCCAGCCACCAGAGAGGAGCAGGGGACAGCCTGACCCAACGGCTCCACGGCCCAGGCCAGTGCAAAAAGGGATGACAGCACAGACAGCCAGAGATGACCAGCAGTGTTCATCCTATGTCATTTGTCCTGCGGGGGAAGAAAGAAATATAGATGAGTGATCCAAACACCATTTCAGTGAGGTCAAACAACTAATTAATTAATCTATCAAATATGTCTTTGATTAATCAGATCATATCTTGCTCATTTTTCTTCTTCAAGCAATATTTAAATCTATTGCTATACAAAACACAGTTTGAAAGCAGCTGAACAGTATAACCAAATAAAGGCATAGACATAGATAGTAGTAGATACTGTTTACACCAAATATCAATAGCAATTAATTGCGTCTTGTTTACACCAAGTGCAGATCGAATTAAATGTTATTCGCACAAAGTATAAATAGGCAGAATGTGCTATCTGTGCTAAAATTTTAATATTTGAGCAAAGCCAGGTGGTTTTAGCAGAAATAGCCTTTGGCCACAGAATCTTTTCTTTGCCTTAACATATGTTTTTATTAAAAGTTTTTAATCAAAATAAAATGTCTGCTGGGTTCTGTTTAATTGAGAGCCATGCAAGTTTAAAGCTGCAGCCATACATACTTCCACACACATGCATGTAAACACAGGACCGGAAAGTTCTGTGCTGGATACCAAAGTTCATGTTTCAACTTTTTAAACTTATGAATTTGCATAAATAACAACTGAGGGCCAAAGTGTCACAGATTGACCATCTTGTCAAAGAACACAAAGCAAAAATGTGTACTGTATGGTTTGCAGTGTTGTGGAGCATATAGTCATTTTGTTGATCAAAAGGAAGACAGCAAATAAAATGCTGTTGTTAGAACAAAAATGCTTGAACTGTAAGCACAAAATAGCAAGATACAAGATGTGTCCATATATATAAAAACAAAACATCTCAAATGCATTTAGCATAACAAGCACTCATCAAAAACATGACCACACCTGCATATACAATCATACACTACACATATTAAATTATTCATTTTCTACATCACTGATGATGATTCTCCAAGCACAGTATAAACATGCCAAATCCATAATAAAATCGATTGCTAATCATTTTCATTCATTATTACCAATTAGTCATCACAGCCCTAAATACCAGGTTTATTAGTTAACTAAAACAGAAACAAAAATGATAGCCATAAAAGAAAAAAAAATGCTTTAAATAATTGTTAACTGAAACAAACTGACATCATTCTCATTAACATTCTTCATATACTAAAATAAATAAAACTGAAATAAAAAAAAAAATAAAAACTATTAAAAATGACAAAAACAAAATTACTAAAACTTTAACAAAAATTTTAAAATGAAAACAGAAAATACGAAAATAAAAACTATAGTGCCTCAATCATGCTAAATTTGATAATTTGATTTGTGTAAAGCTCTGTTGGTAAAACAAAAGAGAAGGGGAGTTCTGAAGGAGAGATTGCAAGAAGGGCAACACAATGTTATTTGAATATTAGATTCATTAACAGATTTACTTCACTAATACTCTTTAATCTCTTCTGCGGAGACACTGCAGAGTGTCAAAAACAAACAGCCAGAGAGAACGAGAATGACAACAGAAAACCCAAGACAGGAGAAAACACAGCGAGATGGAGAGGAACGGTCGTGTCACATATCGGGGCCATTTAAGCTCTCTGACAGCATTAATGAAGCAGAAAGTTTTCCTGTAAATCAGCCCCTTCGGTCTTGATTCCCACCTGCCAGAGCTCCTCACGCCAGCCTTTTTCCACAGCTGCGTTTGCGAGCCCCAATTCAGCCTCTCCTGAGCCGCCGCTCACTTTTCATTCAGCCCGCCCCTCTGCCACCGGTCCCTTTGTCTTAATTACATGTGGTTAGTGGGTCACATTACTGGCATACAGTCGGCTGCAGTGGTACGTCCTTCATTTGGAGGGCCTTTGGGTTTCCGTACACTCCCACCTGGATCAATAGGTGGAAACTCTCTGACTTTCCTCCTCGTTTTTGCCTCTTTGTCATTCTGTCTCACCCTTCCTCTCCTCCTTCCCACTCTCACTCAGAGCAGACTTGTAAATCATTTCAGGGCTGCGTGTTCTCTCTGTGAAGGTCGCAATCCTATTCACAAAGACACAAAATGGACACGCATACTTTTCTCAAATGTCTGAAAATCCCTGACGGATGTGCTGAGAAGACTGATGACTCTTCTGTGGAGGGTTTAGCCCTTCAACTAATCTCCCCCACTCTCACGCACACATGCATCCTTTAGTTTCCCACTGTGACACATGTATAGGTCTTTGAGTTTTTGATTAATAGGATGTGGCACATGACATGACAATCACATTTTTTTGTCTTATCTATTAATTTAATAAACAAAAATACATTAAAATGCAATTTAGAGATACAATGACTTGAGCACACCACTTCTGTGATAAGACTGTCAGAAAAACTGAAAGAAAAAACAGAATTCATGTGTTTAAAGTCATTATCCCACCTTTAATAGAACTGTCATCTTGATTTAAAAATAAAATAAAAATGTAAAATTATGTCTATATCTTTTATTATAAATGACTTAATTATTTTTTGAGATATTCTTTCTGATAGTCTTATACCAATTTGGTTTATAATAAAGTTAAACAACTTTGTAGTAATAATGTAGTAATGTTTATGTGTATGAAAACCCACCATATGTTTTTCCTCTTTTATAATCCTTTGTAAATGGTATATATTGACATTATAATGTTTTTCAACTTGTTCATTATGACTAATGTTTCAAAAAAAAAAAAACTAAATAGTTTAACAATCTTTTATTATCACACTTAAAAGATTCAGATCATCAAACACATTTTTATATTACACAAAGATAATGCAAGTAAATACAAAATGCAAAAATATCTTGATTATCCCCAAGACTTTTGGGCAAATATTCTGTGGACTGACTGATCTGGCGTAAAGCCAACACAGCATTTCATAAAAAGAACATCATACCAACAGTCAAACATGGTGGTGGTAGTGTGATGGTCTGGGGCTGCTTTACAGCTTGAGGACCTGGATGACTTGCCATAATTGATGGATATATGAATTCTGCACTCTATCAGAAAATCCTGAGGGAGAATGTCCGGCCGTCACTTTGTGACATTAAGCTCAAGCGCACTTGGGTTATACAGCAGGACAATGATCCCAAACACACCAGCAAGTTAACCTCTGAATGGCTCAAGAAAAACTAAATTAAGGTTTTGGAGTGTCCAAGTCAGAGTCTGGGCTTAAATCCGATTGAGATGCTGTGGCATGACCTTAAACAGTCCATTCATGCTCGAAAACCCTCCAATGTGGCTGAATTAAAACAATTCTGCAAAGAAGAGTGGGCCAAAATTCCTCCACAGCGATGTGAAATACTCATTGCCAGTTATCGCAAACGCTTGATTGTAGTTGTTGCTGCAAAGAGTGGCACAACCAGTTATTAGATTTAGGGGGCAATTACTTTTTCACGTAGTGAAACCGCTTTTTTCCCTTAATAAATGAAATAATTTCAAAACTGTATTTTGTATTTACTCGTGTTATCTTTGTGTAATATTAAAATGTGTTTGATGATCTGAATCATTCATATATACATTCATTGACATATTTAAAACCTTTCTTAAAAACTTGGCATGTGTGTTTTAAACTAGATTGTTTAAAGTTTTTTTTTTTCTTTTTCTTGTGGATACACTAATGTCATTGACCCATATACCAGAACCGCATCCATTTTTGCTGAGTTTGCAGCCTTCCATGCTTATTTCAAGTTCATCTTTGATAGGTTGAATATTACAAGTTAAATATATAAAGATAAAATGCATTTGTCTAGTCACGCATCTGTTGGGATGTTATGAATATTCCAATGCATCCAAGCAGCCCATTAGCTCCGTGTCTGAGGTGTGCTGGAATCAGTCACCAGCAGCGAAGTGAGTTAAATGGACCTAAGAATTGGCTCTGGAGAGGGGCCTTTAGACAAGGCAGATGAAAACACGAGGGTTTAAAGTGGATACATCTTTCATTTGATGAGAGGTTCCTGACTCAAGCTTATTATGAGATGGCTGGAATAAAGGGTTTACATGAACAAAATGGCACAAACAAATTATTCTACCAAGAAATAAATACTGTAGATGAACTGGCACAGAGAAGCGAGTTGCACTCCATTTCACAGGTGCTTATCACTTCACTCATTCCTCATTACTGAAAAAAGCTTATCTGATCATGCTTTTGCTTATTTACTTATTGATTTATTTTGTGGGATTACGGTGATGCAGAACAGTTTTTTTTGTCACTGGCTATTTTAAACTGCAGTGTGCAGACAGGCCATGTCTGAATGTTTGTATACATGCGACACTAATCTGAGTCGTGTGAACAAATCCTTTCAAGTCCGATTTACTCTACTTTCATATGTGGTCCTGGATTGGATACATTTCTGAATTGAGTCTAAATCGTCACAGCAGAATACATGTGTTTGTTGTACAACGAAACTACCCTGTGGATTCATTCAATGCCAGCAGCGCCTGTCTTAAAAAAGAAATTGTAAAAATCGGAGATGGCAAGATAACACTTTTAATTGATATTGGAGGAGATGCTTCAGTTAGGCAAAACCTGAGGGAATATATCACAACCAAGCTGTGTTAGCACATTAGTGTTGCATCGTCCAGGGCCGACGTTGATGCCGTAAAATGTGAGAACAATTCTAGGTGCCCAAAGGCCCATCAATATTAATGTAGGATCTAACATAATTATATATATATATATATATATATATATATATATATATATATTTATTTATTTATTTATTTATTTATTTATTTATATATCATTGTGATAATCTGGTCACAGTTTAATTTAAGGTCCTTAACTACGACTTTTGCCTCAGTAAACAATAAACAAATTTAAAGTAAATTATCAGGATTTTTTTTATTATTCTGAAAGTGAGCTTATCCTTTAACAGATGGCTAATCTAAAAACTCTTCAAAGCATTGTATGTAGCCATCTGATAATAAAAGCTTTTTAATGTACATAAGTGCCATGGTCATCCTAAAGTTTTCTTTGATGGACTGTTATAAACCCTAGACTAAAGAGCAC